ATAGCAAAATCTCGAACCTTACGATTACAGAGTTGTTTTATTCACATATTCTTAATATGAACAGAGGTTCCCTTCATACAAGAGGTTTCAGGCGTATACGTTTCCGTTTTTAGATACAGATGAACTAAAAATGGCCTTACGGGCCCGAAAAGTTTCCGGAGCTTTCGAGAAACGGGCCCCAGATCCTAAATTCCAGGAAATGCTTGCGGATGTTGAGTTCCACACTGGTCTTAGGGCATTAACGGCCTGCCTGGCTTTCCCTACCCTGCTTTTTACATCTTTGTCCGCTCCTCCGTCTGATGTGACGATACTCCCTCAATACATAAAGCTGTGGACATCCTCCATATCTTTCAGCTTGATCTTCTCCCACTGTCTGCTGTTAGCTCTCATGACTTTGGTCTTTTCTTTCCTGATCCTGAGGCCAGTTTTCTCTGCAACCAGTGCCAGATGGTCGGTCTTGGTTTGCATATGTTGCGGTTTCTGAGATAGAAGACATATGTCATCTGCATAATCCAGGTCATGGAGTTGAGATGTAAGTGTCCATTGTATACCTGTTTTACCCTGACTCTCTACCTCTCTCATAATCCAGTCCATGACCATTATGAAGATCATTGGTGACAGTAAGCAGCCTTGTCGGACTCCCGTGTTCATCTCAAATGGCTCTGACAGTTTCCCGTTATGAATGACTTGACAGGATGAGGCTTCATATAACACCTGAATCAGCCTAATAAGCTTTGGTGGAACTCCATAATGACCCATGAGTTGCCAGATGACGTTCCTGTCAACACTGTCGAAAGCTTTTTCGAAGTCAATAAAGTTCATGTATAGCGGAGTCTGCCATTCTACAGATAGTTCGATGATTATCCTCTGGGGTGCAATGTGATCGGTGCAAGATTTGTCTTTCCTAAACCGTGCCCGCTCACAACAAAGTTTGTGATCTAGGGCATGTTTCAGCCTCTCTAGGATAATGCGGCAGAAAACCTTACTGGGAATTGAGAGGAGCATGATTCCCCCCCAGTTCTTGCACAGCCCAAGATCCCCTTTTTTGGGCAGCTTGATAAGATAGCCATTCTTCCATTCCGAAGGAACCTTCTCCATATCCCAGATCTGAAGGAAAAGCGGGTGTAACATGGCTGTTGTAGTCATTTTGGGTCTTAAGAGCTTCAGGGGGGGTGCCATCTGGATCTGCCCCTTTCCCATTCATTGTATTAAGTGGGCTTTGTTTATTTGCCTTTTTAAATTTTACATTTGGCTTTCACGGCTTTCATCAAAAAAAGTTGAAAATAATTAAATATGATTTTTGAACTGGCGCGCGGAGGAAAATTTAGCGGTGAACAATAAAGACAATAGAGTGTTTTTGTCTCGAACTATCGTTCTGATAGTTCCTCGACGGAAACACTCTATTGTTTAAATAGAAACACGGAGAACATGTTTTCTATTTATTTTAGAAAACACCGCGACGAAAAAAAGGAAAACAGCTTGTTAACAAAGTGTAAATTCTCTTTGCTTGCGCCATCATTGCGTCCACAGCTCGTGCTAGTTCTGTGTTTCCATCGAGTTATAGAAACACGATTTTTAACCAATTGGCGCGCGTATTTTCTTAGGACTGTTTTCTAAATGTGTTTACTTCAAGTTTGGATTGGTTCACTGGATCTCTGCGTTCATTGTGATTGGCCAGAATGATTACTTTGGTTTTGGTTTTTGCGACACTCAACTGAAAATCGCTCTACTAGCCTGGAATCGGGAAACTAAAACTTAAAGCTACTAAACTATTGTATCGATACAGGTTCCTCCCTCTCTTCGGCAAGGCTAACAATCAGGAAATGTGTATTGGATACATTACGTGCCCCGATTGTATAGTTAGTTTATAAACAGAATATCACGCGCGATTTGATTGGTTTAACCAGTTACGGTAACTCTGATCTACGGAGAGTTCCAGGAAAACTCCAAAAGGTGTAGAAACATTGGGCAACAAGTCGCGGTTACTAGCAGCTTTTCTTATTCGCACAAACATTCCTTTGTGTTTATACAAAATCGCTGAAGAAACACAGACAATGTTTTCTTTTTTAATATAACATGGCTCGAGTCACGGCTAAAAGGCTTCTCAGCGTTAGGTAGATAAAATGATTTCTCTCTTCCGTTTTCCCTTCCTGCTCTGCAATCTAAGAAAAAAAATTGCTGATTTACCTTAACGGCGCCTACAGTCAACCCAACGACTCCTTCCGCAACAGAAAACTGGTAGCCACCCGGTAAGGTAAACTGGGGCGAGTTGTCGTTGACGTCACTGACAAATACCGTGAGGTTCACAGTGGTGCTCTACGAGGTAATTCGATGGTGACATGTATAAGCTAGAGCGCTCATGAAAATCAGAAGGCTAGAAAATGTAAACCTCGGTGTACCTTGCCTGAACTTATCACGACTATCACGTAAAAATTAAATTTAAAACAGTTGACAGAAGTCTCACTAGGGCAAAATAAGATCTCCTAAAAATTAGATGAACCCGCGTTTTTCGCCACGGAATGTTTTAGGCAACAAGGGGTATCTTCACAGCATTAAACGGGGTTAACAACTTAGGGAGCAATGTCTGGAGATACTGACTGAATAAATAGAATCTAAACCTCTACGAGCAGCAACGAAGATTTGCAAAAAAAAAACCAAAAAAAACAGAATCTTTTCCCCGACTGACTGCAAAATGGCGGCGGAAGTTGCTGAAGAGAAACTTCCAAAGAGGATGGCATTTTCAATTCCATTTCTATTACAGTCAAACTTTCCATGCAGTTAGCATGTTTAATGTTAAATTGTGTAGATAAAGTTTCATGTATGATACAAGTTGGAACAGAAATAACAGCACTCACCCGGTTGCCTCCATCCTTTGCTGTAATAACCAACTTATAGACATCTACTGTCTCCCTGTCGAGATCCTCAGCAAGAATTACGGTACCACTAAAAATGAGGCAATTCAGAATTCAAACAAACAAACAAATTAAGAAATACAGTCGAAGCCTATAAAACGGCCACACTCGGGGAAATGGGAGGTGCCCTCGGGGAAAAGGGAGGTGGCCTCTGGGAAATGGGAGGTGTCCTCAGGGAAATGGGAGGTTGCCAGAAGGAAATGGGAGGTGCCCTCGAGGACATGGGAGGTACCTTCGGGGAAATGGGAGGTGGCCTTGGGGGAAAGGGCGGCGGTCTCGAGGAAATGGGAGATGGCCTCGGGAAAATGAAAAATGGGTTTGTCAGGAATTAGCATGCATGAGGCTTAGTAGAAACGTCAATTTATTCAAATACAAACATGGGGACATGGAATCACGTGAAGACAATAATAAAAGTGTTTGAATACTTTTACCAGCACTTTCCATTTCAGACTCTTATTTGTCATCGTCTTTTCAGAGACAAATCCAAAGAACGTGTATTGAATTTTGGGCGGCCGCTTAATAGGGAAAAAACCCTCTACGGGACGACCAAAAAGTGGCCGCTTAAAAGAGGCTGCCGGTTAATATCAGTTTTATTTATAGTATTTTGCTGACAAAAATTTCGGGACTTTCATAACTTGCCTCTTAACAGGAGGCCGCTTAATTTAGTTTCGACCGTAAATAAGAAATAAGCTGATGGGCACGAAGGCAGAGAGGTAAGTAAATAAGTAAGGTAGTAGAAAAGCAGGTATGATAAAAAAAAACAACAACAAACAACAACAACAACAACAACAAAAACAACAAAAAGCACTCAAAAGGTTAGCTGAATACCTCAGTTCATCAATTTTGAAAACATTCCCGATGTTTCCGTCCTCCAAAGAATACCTTATCGCTCCATTTCCTCCAAAATCTTTGTCCGTGGCCTGTAGTGAAAAATAAATGGTAGAAGAATTGTATAATCCGGATTTCTTAACATTATCCGTGTTCAAAGCTTGGTCACATTGTTTTACTCCATCTTTGCTTTTTAACAACACAAAATGATTACTACATCAGTCTTTTATTACAATATAAGACATAAGGTATACACACGCATTGAACTATTGCTTAAACTACACAATGAAGAATATAAGGCTCTCTACAGCGGCTTCCAAGCATAACGCTAGATAAAAAGATTCCATAAATGGCGCCGAATTTGAATAACATTACGTTTTAAAACCTTAGCCTCACATTGATGAGAGAAAACATAAGTTTGTTAAGGTTTTCTAACGCTTATTAGCCAAATTCGGCGCCATTTATGCACAGTCGTTATTTCCGTTTCATTACTTTCGACATCACCGCAAGTGACCTTTTGGTGGCTAAAACTCGCCACTTGTTTGAATTTGTCGGTCGTTAGGCGCGCACTACTGATTCTGTATTTGTTATTACGATGAAATACCCCCGGAGATTCTCATACTAGTGCAAAAAGTGCTGTTAACATAGTTTAAAGGGGTTTGCTACATGTGTTTGCTACACCTTTGAAAGTTATCCTATTTCGTGCGAACTTGTTATGACCTGTCTAGGTAAAAAAAAACAAAAAAAAAACGCGAAGCCAAACTGGATTTTCACAATAAGGCAAGTTGAAGCGGATTGTAAAAGGCAGAATTTCATTTCTACACAAGTTCCTGCATATCCGAGTTTTGTTTTCAACATGCATTCAACGTTTTTTCAGTCACTCTTACCTTAACGGTCAGAATCGTTGAGTTTACTGCAGCAACTTCCGTAGCCGTTTCAGTGTAAAACTGCTCATCAAATATTGGGACATGATCATTGATGTCTTCTAGAGTGACTTTGACTGTTACCGTACTTGACCTAAAAAAAAAAAGGCAAAACAACAGTTTGGCAGATGAGCAGTTTCACTTGAATGCCGAATGTCGCTTTGGTTTTGAATAAATACGCTTCGTATTTGGTGTAAACATAACTCACGCCACTTTGTCATCCAACCAGAAGTAAAACCAAAACAAATCGATCGTGTCTTACTCGCACAGGTTTTCCCGCGCTTCGTATCAGCTACATTAATTTGCTTGACTTTTGATTGGTTCACTGGATTGCCTGTGTCTTTCGTGATTGGCCAGAGTGGTTTCTTTGGTTTTGCTTTTACGACACTCAACTGAACACCGCTCTAATGGCAACTGAATCTATTAACAACGTAGAATGCTGCAGCCTGTGTGAAAAGATCGCTAGTTCTTATAGCGCGATCAATCCTTGCTAAACCCCTTCGACAATTAAGGCTTTTCTGAACAATTCCATATTGATTCACGTGGCTATATGAGATCCGTAAGGTGTCTGTGATGGGCTGTTTTGTACCCACGAAAATTCAATACCCGGCAACAACCAGTTAGAGAACTAAACAGATCCATGTGGAGCATCGTCATGAATGAGGAATTTTTGGTCCAAATCACTCCGAGGGAGGTCTATTTACCAATTCGAACCGACCTTTTCCATACTGAGGATGAACACTAAATAGGTCCCAAGGTTATAGCAAATTTCGCTCTTCAATATTTCTCATTCATTTAGGCTTCGTCCACACTACGCCGGAGGAATTTGAAAACGGAGGTTTTACTCTGAAAAGCCATCAAATGTTTTCCGTCTACACTATGTTGGAGGAATTTAAAAACGCAACAATCACCAGCCATTTTGGATTTGTGTTTGAAGAAACCTCGGTCAAGGTGATCACGTGATTATCGTGACGCCATCTTTTTCGAAAAGCTCCGCTTTCAAAATACTTTCCGTCCACGCTAAAACGCACAGCCGGCATTTTCAAATTCCTGCTTCCAAAGAGCTTTGTTTCTGGGACGGATCAGTGTGGACGGTAGGCCTAACCGTAAAGAAAGAGCTGCGTTTTCAAATTTCTCCGGCGCAGTGAGGACGCTGCCATGGATCCATTTAGTATATCTGATTAGTAGTTACTTGGCTGCGAATTTTCACTCGTAAGTAGCTATCAATATTTCTGTTCAGTGGGCACAACTCTTTGGTAGCATACAAACCTCCTCTGACTCTGCACGGCGTCATTCTCAGCCTTTACTGTCAGATAGTACTCGCTAATGGTCTCTCTATCAAGCTGCTTTGCACTTCTGATTGTTCCATTGACAGGACTGATAGAAAAGTCCAGAGAGTGATTATTGACATCTGGGACAAGACTGTAGGTCACATACGCATTGGACGTAGCGTCGCTATCATTGGCGAAAACCTGACAAATAAAGAAACATAGTGTATAATATTTTGACAAACTGGACCAAGATGAAAAAGAGCTTTCTGAATGGTTCCCTGGGTGGTTTGAATTTTTCAATATGCGGCCTTTAGCTGGACTTGGTTATGAGTTAGCATCGACCATTTGCAATTTTGAAGCTTAGCATCGCAAAAAGAAATAAACTGTTTTCTTTTTAAAGTAGGAACATTTTGACGTCCAGAGTTTTGGTTTCTTGATTATCAGCAAAGACCGAGGCAGCGCCACGTCAATCCACCCTACGCCGGAAGAATTTAAAAGCACAGCAATCAGCGGTCAGTTTAGATTTGTGTTTGAGGAAAACTCGGGCAGCGAAATCACTTGATTATCGTGACGCCATCGTTTTCAAAAAGCTCCGTTTTCAAAATGTTTTCTGTCCACTCGAAAACACAAAGCCGGCGTTATCATATTCCTCCGGCTTCAAGAGCGTTTTCGAAAAGCTCCGTTTTCGTTACGGATTAGTGTGGACGGTAGGCCTAACCGTAGAAATAAAGCTGCGTTTCCAAATTTCTCCGGCCGGCGTAGGTTGGAGGCTGCCTGAATTGCCTTTGTAAAAGCACGACCTTAATAAAGGTCCGGTAAAACGGGCAACATTTTCGTTCGACTTGTCTCGCAACATTGTTGCATTGCACGTTGAAACACATTGTTACGCGTATTACCACGTCTGTGACCAACTTGTCTCGCAGCAAAATACAGTGTTGCAAGT